GGTATGTAGATGCACCTCTCTCTCTTGTTGCTAGATGACTCCATAGATTGATCTTGGTGATACGTAGAATTTTTTATTATTTTCTGCAACGATCTCCAACAATCAAACCCTAACAAAACTAACTCGATTACATGGTAAATCTCATCAACCCATCACCGTCCAGCAAGCCTACGATGGGATTACTCACGCACGACGGTGAGCATCATGAAATTGGTGATGTAGGATGGTTGATGATGACGATGGTGACGGATTCCCCTCTTCGGAGCCCCGAACGGACTCCAGATCAGCCCTCCCAAAGAAGACTAGTAGAGTGTCCGTGTGTTGCCACGGGCTCTTGAACTATTTTGCAAGAGTTACATGTTAAATTACAAATGTATAAACAATATAACACAAACACAATTATTGAATAATTGAAGTCCATTTGTGCAATGTAAATTGATAACAAAAAGAAAGATTAACGACATGTCCATGTAACAGACTAAGCGATGTTCCAACTAAACATCTATTACAAAACTATCCATATCTAGATGATGCACTTAAGAAATTCTTTCACGATATCAAGAAAGTTGTCTTTAGCTTCATTCCCACGATGATTTAGCTAGTATAATAAAAACCCTTCCTCAACTCATACCCATCCTGCACAAACAATATGTGTAGTTAGTATGAAAATTTCACGCCGAAGGTCTTAAAACAATACTCACCACGCAAACCGGCTTGACCAATTGATTACCGTTCCACCAGAGCATAAAATGAAAAACAAAATAGCCGGACACATTCCTGCAATTTTTTAAATTAATAGTAAGAATATAGTGATAACAAAAATAAATGTTTTTATTATGAATTCATTACCCATCTATACTCGTTGGAATACCAAACGGAAATAAACATTGCCATTTAGATATATCAGAATTCCAACCAGGCAGCTTTATTTCAAGTGCTTCTTTGAAATCTCTTGCAGAACTTCTTAATTTCAGTGCATGCCTCAAATTTTCATCCTCTGACGATTGTGATGTTTGAATAAGGTCCATAATATATAGACGACGTGCCTCTTTGTCGATGACATACAAGATGTATCGGCCGATGGATGCATAGGAAAGATAAATCTACAAGTGGAGCTATTACAAACAACAATGAACCATGATAACAATAGACAAAATACTTTACTTACCATGTTGCACGATGAGATGTTGTCCATCCTAGGCCAGCTATCAAATAATGTCGCCAACGTCTGGATAGTTTCCTTCTCGCAAAACTTCTGACCTCGTGTTGACTCTAGCATCTTGGACTAAGTAAAAGAAGAGATATTGTTGCAAAATGTTGATACTAATGCCCGTGCGTTGCTATAGGCAACAATGTAGGGAAATGAGTCAATAATCATGCTTTAACAATTTCATCAATAAATAAGTGCACAATTTTAGTTGATATATCACAATGTTTTAATTTAGCCTTCACATGAAGGTTCAATATCACAATGTTGTAATTTCTCCTTTACATGAAGGTCCACCGGAAGAGGAATCATGGTCTCCTCCATCGTGTCAGCATTAATTTGTTGAACATCACACTCAATGGGGTAGTGCTCCTTCACCGGAATGTCATATTAGAATTATTTGATGCTATTAGGTATCCTACGCCTGTATTAAGCAACTTTCTAGCAATGATGATTTATTTCTCATAAAAACAAGTTCTGATAATGTACATGCCATCAATTGTTTAGCTCCCTAGTGTGCTCAACGAGCCTGCGTCATCGTTACTCTCCTACATCTCTGACCCCTGTTGGCCGAACAACCATTGTAGTTGGAGGAGAGTGACCCGCTGCTCCACTTCCATAATCTTTAGAGACTCCAACCTCATTATGGCCCTCGTGAGCCTCCTCCCCGCCTCATTCCTGATCTTGAACCATCCTAGAGATGGATGTGCACATCAAGAACCAGCACTAAACTTATAGACAGGGTGATCTTAGTGGATCCCCGCCTCACTCCTGATCTTGAACCATCCGAGAGATGGATGTGCGCACAAAGAACCAACACTAAACTTATAGACGGAGTGAGCTTAGTGGCTTGAGGCAGGTGTCAGTAAGGACATGAAGGCATGGTGGTGTGCTCCTCATTGCTGGCGCGAGGGCCGGAACAAACATAATCGACCGTGCTCAACGAGCCCGCATGACCGTTCCTCTCCTACATCTCAGACCCCTGTTGGTATAAACCACTTCCATAATCTTTAGAGACTCGGGCCTTTTGATGGGCCTCGTGAGCCTCCTCTCCAACTTGTTTCGGATCTTGAACCATCCGATAGTTCCCCTCAAGCTCGTGAAACTGTAAGCAGCCACCAAATCCCAGAGCAAAAATTTCAAGATGTATTGACCAAATAGGAATTGAAGGAGTTGACGCATGGGTGCTACAGAGTAGTGCATCAACTTTTTTTTCCTCTCAACATTTTCAAGATCAAACATGCCAAATCATTTGCGTCAGGTCAAAGGAGAGTTGTCATGTACATAACCGGGCCTAGTTCAATGTAAGAATTTTTTATGTAAAGAAAGAATCAAACAACTACAAGAACAAAAAGCATTGATGAGTTTGTACAGAAAAGACCTTGGCAAATCTTTTTAATGTATCTCATGTTTGGTCTAGAACAAAAAGATGTTGATTAGATCATTTTGACACTATAACATCCTTTAAATTATCATGTTTTCAGTACATTATATTCCAGCACCATCTTTCCTTGGTTCCCACAGAAACCGAGTATTAAGCACCAAGTCGCTCTCCTTACCTATAGCTATAGGACACCTAGTGAGCATATTGGGCACCTTCGGAACAATCACTTATGCAGACAATTTCATCTTTGGAAGTACAGCCCAAATGCAAATTTCCTAGCTCAGGGAACATTAGACAACACAATACCAAGTGCAAAAGTAAAGTTTATGAATTCATGCCGACAAGAAAGTGCTTGCAGAATTAATATAAATTATCGTCCATTTTGCAAGCTCTTATACAATCAGCAGCACGATTAACCTGCATCCTCACAACCTAAAGCAGAAAGTACAAAATCAGTTATTAAGTCACCACTAAAATTGGTCCCAAAGACAAAAGAGCATTGTTTCGAATGAGAATTGGTGCAGTAAGTGGGCATCTTGCCACGGCATACAAGCCATAGGAGTATAATTGGATATCACAAATGTTAAAGCTAGAACTAAGCATAGTATCCCATTTTCAAAGCACAAACTTGTCACGTTCTTTGTTTTTTAAACAATCCATGCAAAGCATCTCTATGAGCAAGAACTATCTTGTGGAACAAAATTTTAAAATAAGGAGGAATGATAAAATCACAATAAATGGCAAGTCCGCACCTCAACGGCAATTAACTCAATACAATGGGTAATGGGGAGCTTGGGCAGCGCCACTCCTTGTTCCAGTAAAACCAAATCAAACAACAGAAAATTCTCTATGCAGACACGCAGACAAGCAACATGGACATCCAAGCACTATTTGCCCATGTCACCCACCACCTCCTTGTCGTCATCCACAGCTGTGGGAAGCGAATGTGGTGACCTACAACAACAAATCTTTAGGCCTTTGAGATGAGAACGAACCATCCCTTACTGGCTACACATATATTATAACCAATGCACCGCCTACTGCACTTTGCCTTCGGCCTCTGGTTCATGCAACTTTCTACAGAGCTCAAGAGAGGAAGAGGAGAAGTAAACTGAGAGATTTACCAAGCCGGCGGCGAAGAAGATGACAAGAGACTCACAGAAGCAGCTATAGTGACAGCGGTGTGGATGAGCTTGAGCAGGGTCAAGACCACATCTCTATATCACCATATGAAAGTGTCATCAACACATACAACATGTACAGTTTTCAAGGAGAAAAGAGGAGCATAAATCATGCTTATTTTTCATACACTAACTATTAACCAGTACAAATCTGCATAAAGCAAACTGGCAGGTCATATTATGTAAAAATATAGGGAAATGCACCTGTATAAGTTGCTGGGTAGAGTAGTAGTTTGTTCTCGCCTTCAACTCATCAGTCTTGGCCTACATTTCAGCACAATGCTTTAATAATTTACAGAAAATACGCAAGCTTAGCCAATCGATGGTGATATCCTTCCAACGGTTTAAGCTACCATACTTTGCATTTTTGGTGAAAGAGCTATGCACCCAACCCCAAGTCATATATCATCTAAGTCCAAGTGTCCAACGACAATAGCAAAGCTACGAAGCACACATTCAAAAGGCATGAACAAACATCAACAACAAGTTATGAAGCAATCTATGAAATTCGATGGACACTTGGACTCCATGGGCAAAACTAAATAACAACAACCAACAAGTTACGAAGCATCAACAAGATATTATGCTTCTCAATGACAATTAAATCCATGGGCACTAAATAATTAAATCAAATCCATCTTCAATGAACCTCTATGATTATTTTCACCTAGCATCATGTATATTTTGACTGGACATGAAGCTTTTCATAACCAGATCACTTGCGTACAATGTTTGCCTTCAGATATGTGCAGAGATATAACTCCAGGTGACAAGATGGGTAGCTAACTATGCATTAATCTATGTATGTGTGGCCCACATCTAAATTGTGCTTTTAACTCAAACATAACATAGACATAGGTACTCACGCCGAGCAGCCAACGTCCCAATCTACTAACGCATCAAATACTCACCTCAGTTCGACCCACGGCGAACAACATGCTCCACTGCAAAGCTGATACACCTACAATCGAAAAAATAGGTTCAAAATCAACCAGTTTATGGTGGCATATGGTTTTCTTGAAACACTTTTAGTGATGCCAAAGTCTCGGTCTCCATCAACGTCAGGAATATCCTGAAAGCTCCGGACATCAATAAAAATATGCTTGATGATACCAAAAGTATAGAGTCATTGCATGTTTAATTACGTTGAATATAGCTATGACGGCAGAGAACCAACACATGGACAATGTTGCAAACACCAGTCATTTTGTTGCTGCCAAGGGCCTTTTCAGAACATGTCGCTGCAAAATGAATCATCAAACACTGACGAAGGAAGCCAAGTAAATAAGTATGAATTTCTAGTGCTACTGAAGATGTGTACTGTGCCGAGTGCCTGCATATGTGCAAAGAAAGGTAATTGGACCACGATAGCCCTCACAAATAGGATACAAGATGCAGCGAGGAGTGTGTGTCGTTCCCACCGGAGCATCGGAGCCTGAAAAGGATCAAATATGAGATGAAAATGATCATCACTTGGCGTTTGATGGTTTCATGGAATTTACTTTCCAATTCTCATGATGGTAAGTGCTACTTACCTCAATGGAACACTTCCAAGAAGGAAGCTGATAATTAAAGCACACGTCAGTGGCACCGATCCGAAACAGATCCAGTGTTAAAGCTCTGAAAACAACAAAACTTAAGTATTTAGACTTCAGCCATATTTTCCACACCATAACACCATTATGTTGAACCTAATATACTATGATCAGGAATGTGACCACTAAGAGTACTCCAGTTGCTACTGAAAATCGCCCAGCTACAAATGGAAAATCTGGCTTGTTGATCTCCAAAATAGAGTATAATTTATACTAAATGATTGTACAGTATAAAGGATTAAGAAGGTGCATTTTCTCAAAGCACAAGGAATAAAATACAACCTTTTCAATTTGAATGTCGTATAGCTGATTCAGCCCTACCACGTAAATCTTCATACATAAAGCAGCAGCCAAAGCGTGCACAGAAAGTGAAAATTTTGATTTTTTTAAAGAGTAACAATGTAGAATTTTCATACACAAATGGCTAGGTATATATCTAGTTGCCAAATAATATTACTCGTAACAGATAAAAATCTATAATAACTCTTAGTATCGTAGTAGTAAAATCATCTAGGCTCTTCATTGACACGAGAGACACTGAAGTTATCCCTATAATCTAACAATACAATAAACATAAGAAAGAGCGCATCAAGCAGTGTGCATCAAAACTACATATGTAGATTGGAACTAAATATGACAAATCTCACAGTGCCAAAGATTGTGTGTGGTCTGCAGAACTGATAGAAAGCGTGCAATTTCTTCAAAGCATCTTGGCTGATTTCCTCAAGCCAATTGGCATCAGAACCGGTTTTTGAACTGACATCAACGGTTTTGATCACGAGTAACCTTGCTGCATCCAGCTTGGAGGGCTAGATAATCATCGCTGCACTGCCTCATTCTAGGGCTAGTAGCTTGAGAAGTGGAACTGAATTTATGCATCACAGTAGTAGCACTGCTGTTTAGAAACAAACCAACAGATGTTAGCATGATGCACGCGGACAAATGAAACATCACATCAAAGAAGATATACTTAACTTTGAAAATGACCTGCAAAAGCTTCCACTGCATATCGACCTCTAATTTGTGAAGTGGATGACACAACAGTTTGGCACATCTAGTCAAATATATCTGCTACTCCCTCCGTAACAAATATAAGAGCATTTATATCACTAAAGTAGTGATCTAAATGCTCTTATATATCTTTACAGATGGAGTAAATTTTTGTTGCATAAAGAACATGCTTGATAACTTCCATTTGTGTAAGAAACCACACATATTTCAACACATTTATCAGCAGGAAACCACACATAGTTTTGGTCCATAGGTTCCAGTCTGCCCGAGATCTCTTCTACGTAAAAATTGTCCTAATGGCCCCTCCTCCCGTTTCTGTCAAACCAATTCTCATTAAAATTTCTCAAACTCTAGGAGGACTCCACAAACCTGCAAATAAGTGCTCATAAGAACCACACCCCAAGGGATACACATGGAAGAAAACAATGAACATTCTAGTAATTCAGTTAATGGGCAGTGTGCATAGGGAATCATATTGACTATATGATGTTGTGTCGATGATGTACAAAAAAGCTTGGCAATAGGATCAATGGCAGCATACTGATGCCGACGCCGCATTTTCATAAAGTTGTCTAGTCTAAACGAACAAGCATACCATGTTGGAATTTCTAGTGACACGATGATGTGAAACTGAATTGAAAATAGAATTCTAGTACTAAATATAAATTTAAAAATACGTCTACAATTCACTTCCCTACATCAACTAAGCTTTAGTTCAAAACTTCAAATGCATGAATTTTGGGGAAGCACAGACTAATTCATGGATAAAGCAGAAAAGAATTGGCACAAGGGCAGTGACTGAATATTTTGTAGTGGTAAAGACATGTCTGAATATTTTTTATGTTGTCCTATCTGAAATTTCCATCTCCTTCACCTTCATCAACGTTGCGGACAATGTCTCGAGCGTTGCGGACGCGACAGAACACAGAGGCCGGTGGCCGTGGCAGCGTTAAACCGCTTCTTGGAGCCGGTGCTGCCGCCGCACAGGGCAAAAGTGAATGCGCTACGGCGGTCGTGCAGCTGTAGTCATTCTCAGTGATGTCGAATGCGTTCAGCACTGCCCCAAGGCTATGCCTTGTCATGGTGATGCTCACCTCCTGGCACTGAACAATGTCCAGCACATCCCGTGCCTGACATCCATGGTTGCATGAGCATGCAGCTGCAAGTGAGCTCAACACTGAGTCGTGCACCATGTACATGACAGTGCCATCGTATTCACAAGATTACCTGGTCTCTGGCGTTGTCCCTGTTGTTGGTGGCGATGGAGATCCAGCCGCGGTGCACCAAGCGTCTGCGCAGGCGGCCTCACAAAGGGGGCCTCTGGACGGCACTATGGCGAACTCAAGATCGTCGACCCATTCCAGAGCCTGGATCGTGCCGCGCCACGTGACGACCACATCACGACGCCCGCGCGCGCCTTTCCCTCGTCCGTGGTGGATCCCATCGCACCGTGCTCAGTGGTGGAGGCTGGATCCCATCGGGAGGGACAATACAGGGCCAATGGCGGACGGATATGGGTGGAGGGCACAGCCATCGCGGCGCCAGTGGAGACCGTGGTTATGCAGCGTCGCAGGCGGTGATGTGTGCAGAGGAGGATCGCGGCGGCTCCTCTCGGACCTCGGCGGCGGCGGCTCCCCTCGCATCTTGGCGGCAGCGAAGTGCTCTGCTATGGCGGCTGGGGCAAACAGATCGAGGGGAGTCGAGTTGAGCCTCGGTGGTTCTCGCTCGAGCGGCGGGGGCGAGGGATGGAGCAGCGAGCGATCGCTGGTTTTTTTTAGTAGGTTTTTTTTCGGCCCTTTTTCTCTGGTGCGACGGGAGGACTGTCCTTGGATCGACGGACGTGGAGGGATCCCTGGGGTTTTTTTGGTCGACGTGTGGGAGGGAGGACAAAAATAAACCTGGAGAGGTGGGACGAAAATTAACCGAAGATGGGAGGATGACGAAAAAAAACAGAGGTGGGAGGATGACGGAAAAAAACCAGCGAAATTAAATCGCGGAGACTATTCACCAAGTCGTCCATTAGGAGTACAGATTAGGGCTTGGCGGCGGCTCCGTATCGTAAAACGCGATGAATCCTTCTCCTTCATTTTTTCTCCCTGAACGTGAATATATAGAGTTGGAGTTGAGGTCGGTGGAGGTCTAGGGGACCCACGAGGTAGGGGGCGCGCCCTAGAGGGGTGGGCGCGCCCTGCACCCTCGTGGACAGGGTGTGGTTCCCCTTTGTTGATTCTTTCACCAATATTTTTTATTAATTTCAAAACGTGACTCCGTGGAGTTTCAGGTCATTCCAAGAACCTTTATTTTTGCACAGAAATAACACCATGGCAAGTTTGCTGAAAACAACGTCAGTCCGGGTTAGTTCCATTCAAATCATGCAAGTTAGAGTCTAAAACAAGGGCAAAAGTGTTCGGAAAAGTAGATACGTTGGAGATGTATCAGGGCTCAAGGAGAGCCTATGATGAAACTCGGGAAGCTTTATCTCTTGCAATCATCCAACTGCTATTAGCACTCTCTTAACAGTGTGAACTGCATGATACATCCATGTCTTTAACTTGTGGTTAATCCATTCCATGCCCCTTTACTTTTGCCTGTGCTTGCTATTTTGTTGTTGCTCTTACTTAACTTGTGTAGCTAGCTTTGCCTTGCCATAGAGGTTGTTCTCACCTTAAATGCCATTTCCATAAAACTTATGTATCCACACTAGTCCTTAAATTGTTATAGTCTCATATTTAGCCCATCTAGTCAACCCATCGATCCCTTCATAAACATTAAAGACATATTGACAATGACAACACCAATAAACAAGCAATGCCAACAATCGAGAATAGATTCTTTCCGTAAATATCTAGCTTACTCTAGGATTATCCCTTCTAAGTACTCACCCTAAAATCATGCACTCTAGAAACCTCTGTCAATTTTAGCGCTTTGTGCCATGAAATGTAAGGATAATAAAATGGCCACAAACACATACATATGTACATGCATTTCATATAAGTTCCACAAATTAATATATGAAGACATACAATTTTGTTCTTTTTATATTGCCCTAAGATAGAAAATCCAGTTAAACCTAAAATAATAATTAAGAGGCCATGTCTTGAAATGAAATAACTAGCTTCACTTTGTTTTCAATATATGCTTTTATTGTAGTACACATGCACATTCCAAATCTAACGTTAAAATTATGCAATAAAAACTGCATCTTAATATTTAGACACATTATAACATGATTATTTTTTTGTAATATAATAGAAAAAACTATATAGGTAAGTTTGTATGTCGACATAGTTTGTTATAAAAGTAAAAAGTTCAATATAATAAGTGATAAATGTCTTACTTAATGGTACTAATTTACCATTAGACCAGATGAAAGTGGCCACGAGTATTGTTTGTTGATGTATGATAGGAGTCGGTACAGATACTAAGCTCCCATGAATTATTGGGTTGTGTTTCATCGAGGCTTTAGCCAACGCTTGTGACCCCACTTGTAAATGGGTGGATCCTGGTAATCATCCGTTCACTGCCCTTGCTGATGTGTACCTGGCAGGTGGGCACTCGATCATAGTCGGTTTGCCCCTTCATGCCCTCCAAACACCATCGCCACTGAACCTAGCGATATCAAATCAACATGAGGTTGTACTGGCATTGAAGGCATAAGTTTGAATTATTGTTATCGGTCTTCAAATCTGAGCAAATACAACACACACATAAATTGGGGAAGCTTATTTTGTTATGTTCATAGCCTTCTCATCCACATTTGTTATGTCAATGGATTATGATATTTCTTTCCGGTCTGACCCGACTGAAGCTCTCATGTCATCTTTTATTGTTTTTATTACTAATCACATGTGTGATATCATATCTGAATACTTTGAAGGTTCCTCAAGGTTTATCGCAATTGGCATTGTTTTTGTGGCAATTTTCTGTGGGCGCAAACTCGTGAGGTATTGGATGATGATGGAGTAGTCCAGTTGCTTTGCTATTTTTATTTTGCTATATAAGTTTATATTAAAATACTTGGCTTCACTAGCAATCTGATTCATGGTCGTTTCCGGTAGTGAATTTGT